GGATGGACATGGTCAGCAACAATACTCAGGTAGGCTGTGGCGTTGCAACGATGCTCAATTTGTACCAAGGGGCCAAAAGAGTGCCAAGAAAATATTCCCCACACCATGACACCACCACCACCAGCCTGAACCGTTGATACAAGGCAGGATGGATCCATGCTTTCATGTTGTAGACGCCAAATTCTGACCCTACCATCCGAATGTCGCAGCAGAAATCGAGACTCATAGACCAGGCAACGTTTTTCCAATCTTCTATTGTCCAATTTCGATGAGCTTGTGCAAATTGTAGCCTCAGTTTCCTGTTTTTAGCTGAAAGGAGTGGCACCCGGTGTGGTCTTCTGCTGCTGTAGCCCATCTGCCTCAAAGTTCGACGTACTGTGCATTCAGAGATGCTCTTCTGCCCACCTTGGTTGTAACGGGTGGTTATTTGAGTCACTGTTGCCCTTCTATCAGCTCGAACCAGTCTGGCCATTCTCCTCTGACCTCTGGCATCAACAAGGCATTTCCGCCCACAGAACTGCCGCTCACTGGATGTTTTTTCTTTTTCGGACCATTCTCTGTAAACCCTAGAGATGGTTGTGCGTGAAAATCCCAGTAGATCAGCAGTTTCTGAAATACTCAGACCAGCCCTTCTGGCACCAACAATCATGCCACGTTTAAAGTCACTCAAATCACCTTTCTTCCCCATACTGATGCTCAGTTTGAACTGCAGAAGATTGTCTTGACCATGTCTACATGCCTAAATGCACTGAGTTGCCGCCATGTGATTGGCTGCTTAGAAATTAAGTGTTAACGAGCAGTTGGACAGGTGTACCTAATAAAGTGGCCAGTGAGTGTACATGCTTGGTGTGAGGGATTGCCTTTGAATCAATGAGTCGATGCAATCAACTGGTTTTCCATAGATAGAAAACCTAAAATCAATTTGACTGTATGATGTGGTTGAATTTGTTAATCATAAATAAGTTTACATGGGGCGGACCAAACCAGTTGGTGTTGCAGCAGATTTTGCATTTATTTAAAGCCATATTTTATAGAAAGGTTGATTTAATTTCATCAGTATATAAGGTCATGAGAAAAAAAAACTGCAAAAAAATGTATTGTTTATACAATGAATTAATAGTAAAGGAATAAGGGAAGCAAAGGTAATATTCAGAAATGGGTAAATTAAAAATCATAATTTTTCATTGAACCAATGCAACAGAATTATTTTTTTTTAACTGATGATTAGGGACGCCAAAAAGCCTACTGTAATATGTAAAAAGTGGGAAATTCCTCATCTAACAAAACCATCATATATTCCAATTCACACTTGACTAAACAGGAGGATGTGAGTTGTGTTGCAAACTATTTCTAACCCCTTTTAATTCATCTTCCTAGTTTAAATTTAAAAAATTATCTTCAAGAGGTAACCCTTAATGGTGATAAAGTAAACATCTTCTGTTATACTTTAATACATTTAAGCCAGACAGAAACCTGATTTCCCTGTTTATTGCAGGAAATATTAGCTGTTTAAAACCAGTGTTTGAATTATATTCATCCTTAGATCCTTGCTTTGCACAAAAAAAATCACAACAACAGCATATCTAAAGTCAAAATCCCAGATCCCGGAACCCTTTGTAAAAGCAGCAGCATTGGTGAGCAACTTGGTGTAGGCCTTTAAAGATTATACTGTATTTTCATGAAGGTGTTTGCAGCTTTCAAGCAAAAATGTATGGAACAGAGTACATCCAGAATACAATGGGCCTTATTGCATTTGTTTGGCCATTTTTAGCAACAAAATATCACAGCACACAAGCCATTGAGCAAAACTAAAACAAACATAATTTAGGTGTTCTTTGTGTGTTTGGAGCGACTGCTGGGTTAATGCTACCAGGATGTCTGGTTGCATTTGGTGTTCAAGAACTTTGGTTTAAAACAACTTCTCAGTTGTCAGTTCTTTCTTTTTGTGCAGTTCCTGAGTGATTAACTCAGAGCTGTAACACGATAATCCATGTTTCTCTTCTGGCATCTACCTGCTGAGCACATTTCCCTCTGGATGAGTGTCAGCTCAGCTTCTCCCAACACTTATGTCCTTCATTTAACTAAGGCTGCACAGTTACATTTATTCTTCATTTACAGGTCTAAATAATATCAGCCTTATCTGTACATACTCACACCACTTATGCCAATCAAAGATGGATTTTAAGGTGTTAAAAGGACTTCATTTCACATCAAATCAACATTAATTAAGTGGTTTTAAATAACACAATGTCTATGCAAAAATAAAAAAAGTAAACATGTCTTTCAACCAAAAACTCAGTTTTATTGATTTCCTAGTTTAAATTGAACAAGTGGGCAACCCCAACAAGAAGTTTGTCATTTCTTTTTTAAATAATCTACATTTACAATAACGTTTCAATAAACTTCTCCTAAGGGACATTTATTACATTTGTTTACATGTTGTTTTTTTTTATTGCAGTTTACAACAAGAAAGTAACAGTAGTGCTTATTGTATTGCTACATTTTCCATTTCCTAAAGTTTTCTTCTAACAATATCCACAATTCCTTATTAAGAGCTTTTGATAGTTACCTTGGGAGAACAGAGAACACAAGGCAGACCAGACAAATATACTGTTTAATACCAAAACGACCCAAAGATGTGACGTTTTTGGTATCTGTAGTTGTTAGTCTTTGCATACATCTACTCATCAGTGTAAGTGGTCCTGTAAATGTCCTTTGCTGGTGTCTTTTCTCCCACTGTTTCCTTTCTTCCAGTGCTGTATCTGGCAAAGATGGTCCTTTTTTGTGTCCCAACATTAGAAGGACCTGGACAGAAGTCATAAATGAGTAGCAGACCTGGTTTGCTCACAGTGTGAAAGTTACTCCAAGAAGGACACTGAAAGCTTCTAGCTGTGCGTTACAGTTGAGAAAATGAAGATGATCACATGCAGACCTTTCAACAAAAGTGTTTACTTATGTGTGCTCTGGAAAATTTTTGTCACAATAGCTGTTTGAGTCCACAATTGTCTGGGATTCATTAAGAGTTCAGTGTTGGTTCAATATCTTCACTCAGTAAAAAAAACAAACTGCAATAAACATATTTCTGATCCAGTCTAACTGCATTGTATACAGAACACAAAAACAAATACTGATATCTGCAAAGTGCAAATTTCTTCTTTAGAAATTCCTGTGTATATCACTTCTATCTTAAGACAAAAATGTAATTTCCTATATTCCCCTCCATTGCCTCTTTAGTTCTTTTTTGTGTCCCATGGAGGCAAATATAAGTCAACTGTTAAAAAGTAACCAAGTTGCAACAACATAGAGTCATCTGCAAATTGTGTGAGCCACAAGAGCAGAACTACATTGGTGCAATCTACCCTGACAGCTATGTTATGAGTCTAGCAAATTTCAGATGCATCTACTACACTAAAAAGAGAATGCAGTGCTAACATAAATGATTTGCTTCAGTTGCAACAAGAAATTGAATTGACTTCACTAAACTCAATCTATTAAATTAAAGGAATAAACCTGCATAACTTTAATTCAATCCCTTCAATCAGTTGAAGCAGTTTCTTTAAGTTAGAGCTGCATTTTTGTTGTAGCTTATACATCTAATTCTGTGTAACTCATAATTGCTGAAAATTTGTAATGAAGAGGGATGAACATAAAAAAAAGAGGTAGGGTTTTGATTCTGCCACATTGGTTGCTAACAGTGCCTTTCCCAATATATTTATACCTCTTGAGCTTGTTTTTAGTTCCTTAAGGTCCTTAAGATTTATTGCTAAAAGCACCTCAAGTAGGAGGAAAAGATGTTCTACATTCTGAAAAAGATTGGTGAATTTGTATTCAGACCTGTTTTCCCCTCCACCCCCAAAGAGTACAACCAACTACCTTAACAGCATTAATTATTGGGAACAGGAGCTAAAAAGTGGTACCATGACGACTCACTGATCAAATTTAGTTGGATTTTATTTAGCTTTTTGGGTATATATGATGACTTTGCTTTAAAAAAAAGTATTGTGTCACTTAAACAAATGGGTCACAATACATCCACACAATGTGGTTACTTCTCCCATAAATCTAATTGAAACTGATGGTTTAGGTTTTTGCAGAAGGATTACCTCACAGGTTCGTTTTTGACATTGCCTTCTGTGGGTTGCTGAGGAAGTCACCTTACCCTGTGAGCTGTTTAGTGTTTTTCACACTGCTTCAATGAACTTTAAATCTGGGTTTGGAGATACAAGGTAGGCTCCCCATGTGGTGTTCAATGTATTTTCCCTGAAATATTCTGTTTCCCTAACTTTCTTAGCGGTACATTTTAATTTTGGATACCCAGTACAGAGACCGGAGAGAAAGTCTTGGTGTAAATTTAAGTGTGCCATCTCACAGAACACTGTTCATTGTGGTAAAGCTGAAAACCTACAGTACCAAGAAATGCCCCCCACTCAAACTGAAAGGATTGACAAAGAGATCATTAATCAGAGATTGAACAAAGAAGCTAATGGTAACTTCGTAGGAGCTTTGAAGGAATTATTCTTTCATCGGAACATACACTATAGATAGACCCATTGAAATTACTGGAACCAGTTATCCCAATAATTCCATGGCCAAAGGTGTATAAAATCAATCACCTAGGCATGCAGACTGTTGTTACAAACATCGGTGAAAGAATGGTTTGCTCTCAGGAGCTAATTGTAAACCAGCTTGGAACTGTGACAGAATGCCACCTTTGCAACAAATCCAGCCATGAAATTTCCTCTTCTAAATGTCCCACAGTCAACTGAATGATAAGAAAATATATGTGTTTGAGAATGACAGCAACACAGCCAGAAAGTGGTAGGCCATGTAAGGGGACAGAATGGGGTCAGAGGAATGGGTTTCCAGCTCACAGGGTAAGGGTCTCTCTTACCCTGAAGGTACTATTTCTTAAGACATGATAGAAAATCTGTTCAATACTGCTAAATGCAGGGCAATCCTTGGAGGAGAAAAAAATTAAATATTGGAGGCTGCAAAAACTGGAATGGAGGTTAATTTTCCAGGAGAATGAGTGCCTGTGGTGATGGAAGTTAAAACTACATCTGATTGAAAATATATGTTAAGACTTGTTAACTGCTGTTCACAGACACCAGCCATGCAACTGACCCAGATTTGGGCTTTCTTTGCCAGAGCAATAGTAATTGTAATAATATTTAGAAGATTTATGAAGACCTGTAGTTTGCAGCTTTAAATGCAGCAAACACGACTCCAGAAAATCATACTTAGAGGGTCTGAACACAAAAGAAAACACTGCTTTCTCAGATTTTTTATTTTTGGGTCTGTATTTTGTGGACTTTGAGTTGAATCAATAAATTAAAATCCCACAAAAAAAGTAAATAAAAAACCATTCAAGGAGAATAAATACATTTTGAAGGCACTATATAGTTACTGTTGACATTTAAATGCAGACTTTAAATACTTGAAGAAGTCCTCTTTAAATTGTCAACTCGTGGGTTTGGATCACCATCTGGTACCCAAGTAACGAAGGGAAACCAGAGAGGATAGAAACATCTAAACACAATGAGGAGAAATATTTATATTTCATATAAATAAAAATAAAATGTACAGCCAGACCAGCCAGTTTGGCTATCAATGGCACATGGTTGCCTCCAGTTCACAGTGTGCTTCTTCCTGATTGAGGTTTATTTCCCTTACTGTTAGTAAGGAGTGAAGAGTATGGGCCCATGTGTGGTGCGGATGGGACCAGGGGCAGGCCTCAGCAAGCTGAGTGGTGTTCCCTGTAGCAGGTGTGTATGAGGATGGGAGGTCAGTCCAGGAGGGCGTAGGGCCAGCTGATTGGATGAAGCTGCTGCTGCCATCGCTGCTGCGACAGCCAAAGGACTTGGTAAAAGCCCAGGTCCTAGGGATTTTTGAAGTTCCTTTGAGAGAATTGAGAAAAAAGAAGACTGTTGCTGCATTGCAACATAAACCCTAGTCAGCAGCCAAAACATGGGGGGGGGGGGGGGGGGGGG